ATGGGGTGTTGCTATTTAAAGCCATAGCACGTGTTTGATAATTGCACATCAATAGAGACTGAACTTACTTTTCGGCGATCAGTTTTATTTCAGGTATTAATAATTTCACTGGCTTCCTGTTAGGAATAATTGATCGCTTTAATTAACAATAAATACTCACCTGTTCTGGAGCCTGTTATGTTTCCAGTAAAGGAAAGTTTAAAAGCTCCGTCTTCCCCGTTCTTCTCAGCTTTGAGGAGATTGGCCATGCCCTGTCTCCTAAAAGCTTTTATTGTGTGTCTTGTGTTCTGGGTGATTCTGTATTCAGCACTGCACGTCGAAAATAACAAACAGGGTAGGACAAGCAAGACCTAAAAGTATTGAAAAGAAAAAAATAGAGGAAGTAAATAGAATAACATGTGATTAGAGTTGATTAACCTTATGGTAGAGTGGAGGTCGGCAAGCTGTTCAAATCCAAGTTTATTTACCAAAGAGTGGTGGAAAAAACCCACCGTTTATTTAAGCAATGCACAGATTAAGAGAAAAATATGGATGAAAATTGAAGAATTAATTGATCTGGTCTGATGATCCCGAAGGCTGATGCGAATGCATCTCGTTGACTATGAGAAATGATCGATCTAACCTAACGCAATTGAATTAAACCACCAGTATATCGCTCAGATTTGCTAAAAAAAAACACAAAGGATTGCAAAAAAAACAAAAAAAAAAAAACAAAGAGACTCAAGAGTGTCTAAGAATTGTAGATCGAACTCTCGAAACTGGGCACGTCGTCACCATCCCACTCACGGGCAAGGCATGCTCGAGTATTTGAGTTCAATAGACAGCTTTGCCAGGAGCGAGAATATAAACCTGAAAGCACTGAGTTTTGCGACAAAAAAGCAAAGGAGACGCGTTTGGGAGAATGAAATTGACAGCAAGGAAGACTGAGCTCCTTCCAAAATTTCATCCCCGAAAATGGCGAAAAATTATCAATAAAAAAAGGAAAGTACGAAGTCAATATGTGGCCAAAACACTTCTCTATAGTGTCTAAACATGCTTTTTGAAATATTTAAGTAGTCCAATGGTTAAAAATAAACTGCAACACTTTGATGGAATCGAGACGTTTACGTTGTTTACGAAAAGGCAACACGAGTTAAAGTGAATACAATCGTACAAGTACAATTGTCCAAAATGTAGCTGTGGATAGACCTGCGTTTAAAAACTTCTGAGTTCATTTAACATTATTTTCTTTAGTGATTCTAAATCAAGTTCTTTTGGATCACTCGTTAATATCTCTTAAGGTTAGTGGATTACAGTTATTTAGAATATGGGTTAATAAAAGCATACTTCGGGCCAGAAAAAGTGTGGACATTTCATTATAAATAACCGATTGCGAAGAACTAAAGAAAGAATCGTAACACTGCGAAAATTCAAGTGATTGACTTACCAGTAGTTTTGCGACGGCCATTTTACACCGTGAGCTATCAACTAAGTATGTTTGAAATCCGTAAAGCATTGCCATTTATAATGGCTAGTGATTTCGAAACTGTTTCCTGGGCTGTTCCCTTTCCTGTAAGTTTTTAAGATATATGTTAACGACTCAGAAATAAAAAGAACCTCCGTCTTTTCGACGTAAGGGAACTTTCCATTCAGCGTCGGAGAAACACAATAGTGCTTTAACGCCATATTTTCCGGCCTTGTCCTGACAGTAGATTTAATCAAGAACCAATTAAACCTAAGAGACGACTTGCATCAGTTACGTGTACGTATCTTTTTAAAAACTTTAATTTTGACGACGAGTTTCATTTTTAATTGAATTTTAATTAAAACCTTTCTTAAGAATGTGGTTTTGGAGTTATTTTAATACTATTTGAAAAAAGACCTTCCGGTGATGTAAACAAATTAACGTGGTGGATCTAATTTGGTCACGAGATATTCGACGTCTTTGAGCAAGCTACTTCCAGGTGAAAGGGCACTGTTACTATCACATTGTTTATATAATTAAGTAGCAAACCAAGGAAAATATTTTATATAAGTTAAACTGAAGCCGTTAAACTCCACTGAAATCGATTGTTATTTACTTTTGCTATGTCAATAATTAGATTTAGGAGCAGCGAAGTAAAACTAATGTAATGATACTGCATCATCGAACCGTGAAAGAATAAATGTTTTTAAATGATCAATTTAGGTTAACATAACCTGAGTAATGAAGCATATTTACTAAACACGGGGAAAAAGCCGAGAGTTCCAATCATCTTGAAAAGAAAAACAATCTTACTTCTTTGTTTAAGAGGGAGGTTCTGGAACATCTAATCGTTTGTCCTGTAAAAATTATGAAATTGGAATTTTTTTTAAACGGTTAAATGCTCTAATGCTTTCTTTTCATTTATGACAAAATAACTTTCATTTGCCATCAGTAAACGTAGTGAGCTAAACGGCAAGTATGTATATATCTCCAACATACAGAGTGGAATACTAGAAATACTGAGTATTACAAAAAATCTATTTTTGAAAAATTCATTCATTCTCCCACAGTTCGCTGACGTAAGGAACTCACTAGATTCAGGAACTGTTTTACTTTCTTTAAGGAAAATTTAAAACAAATGTGTTTCCATTGGCAGAAATATTGAACAAGATGGCGGGCGCGCTTGTGCATTTCGTCCGTAGTGGCGTCCAAATAATATAAGAAACTGTATGGAAATTTGTAAAATTTCAAAAATATAACAATCAGGAGCTCATGGTCCCGTCTGCTCTCGATCGAGACATATTCAATACTGATTCTGCTATTCATCAAACCTCACAGTGACTCGATAAAAAGAAACCACTTACATCCCGAGCCAGTTCTTTTGTCATTATTCTTTGGCCTAAGTCGCCATACAGTTCTTCACAATCCGTCGTTCTCCATCCCAAACACTCGCCTATTACAGGAAAGTACATCAATGAAGTCAATTGCTCTCGATCGAATTGACTGCTACTGAGTTCGAAGCGTCCAAATATCCTGTAAAATTGTCATTTGTTCCCATCACAAAACTTCCCAACGCGCCAGAATATCCCTTATTTTCCATGTTGAGTAAGTGACGAGACGCCATGCTGAAAACTATGACTGAAATGGTTAAACACGAGCAATGTCGATCTTCGAATCGTCGGCCATATTTGTTTATGTTTTTGCTGGGAAATAAATTAGTTCTCAGGTCCTTTTCGGAATAAAAATATGCCTAGCGTTGAATGCAAATTCAGTAGTCTTGGCGCGAAAATTTAATAAAAGCAAATCAAAATTCTGACATCATGTCATCGCTCTGCCTCGAAAAATCTCAAAGATTTACTTGCAGGTCTTCTTTCCATTTTCTTTTCATCAAATAGAAGATCTGCGGTGCTCAAATTGTGTAAGTTATGGTACGAAACACTCTTCTTTGCAGATCGAGCTTTGATCGCCGCCACATTGAATTCTCTTGATATTTTATTGTTGGAGTGTTATACGATATACCGCTGATAATTGTTAGCGGGCTCGAAATATCCTTGATTTCTGGCAATGATGCGTCTTTGATTAAATTAGGTTCTCTAAAAGACCTACTATTCTTTAGAATTGTGTCATATGGACCAAGGAAAGCGAAACTTCTTTCCATCTGAAGAATTTGAACAAAAAATATTAAGGCTTCCAGCTCACAATTTAGTTGCTGAATAAAAATTTGTCAGTAATGCGCTTTTGGTTTGCATTTTTGATTTATGGCTGATTAATGTATCTAAAAAAAAGGACGCAGATATTTTATCAGGGGGGGTTTTAAAATTCATCGAACAACCTTATATCTTACGTCCACCACGTTAGTCACTTTCTGGGAAGTTGTAAAGTTTTACTTTCTATCTCTATATAATAATAGTTATAAAATTTTGAAAACGGGAATTAAAGGTTTAACTTTTTGTTTTTGGGCTTTCAGTTGGTGTCTGAGCGTATAATATATCTGCAATACCTTCGTCAAATGACAAAGGCATTGATTCTCTCTCTGAAAAATATAAGGCAGTGTAGATTTACTCAATCAATAACTAAGAAACACTGCTCTTCCGCGTATAAACAAAATTGCAAGGAAACATGAGATTACACAATTTTCGTAACACGTAGAATTATCTTCTGAAATTTTTTTTGTGTTAGACTCCTAAATTATATTCACTTTATCTATGAGCTCTTTATTACTCGTTATTTAATGTGCTCATGATGGTTTAAATCGTATTTACTCAAGGCCTTTAGAGGAAGAGTGTTTAAGAAAGGAATAAATCAATTAGTTTCCCATCAGGTTTCAAACGGTTTAAGGATGTCAGAACGTATTGTTCTTCATCCAGATAAAAAAAGGCTCCATCGTGATTTGTACATCTCAAAACGTAAGTCTAGGGCGCTTCTTATCGTTGCAGTATGTAATCCTTGCTAATTTGTTCCCGTCCTTAACAAATGCCGCCCCATTTTCATTTATTTTGGCGATGATTTATCTTACTGAAAAAAAAAAATGATGTCTCTCACTTTGAATGTAATTTTCGCATCTGTGATAACGAACCGAAAACACGGAGAATCA